AGAGAGAGAGAGAGAGAGAGAGAGAGAGAGAGAGAGAGAGAGAGAGAGACATTGATGTGAGATAGAAGCATTGATCTGTTGCCTCCTATTTGCACCCCAACAGGGGATCAAACCCGAAACCTAGGTATGTGTCCTGACCAAGAATCAAACCCACAACCTTTTATTTTAGTGCATGGACGATTCTCCAACCAATTGAGAGACCCGACCAAGGCTGTTTGTTAGTTCCTTTTACTTCTCTTCTCCCTCCCTCCCCAATAAAAGATGTGTACATTACACATGATTATCAATTTGGGGCATTTTTTAGTAAGTTCACTGTCTTCCCAATTTTTTTTCATTTATTGATGAGAGGGAAGAAGAAGGAAAAAAAGAGAGAAATATTGATTTGTTGTTCCATTTATTTATGCTTTCATTTTTTTTTTTTTTTAATTGGTTGTTTCTTGTGTGTGCCCTGACCAGGGATGGATCACAACCTTGGTGTATCTGATCGTTGCTCTAACCAACTGAGCTACCCTGCCAGGGCTAATCCTCTTCTCATAACCTACTTTCTACTTAGGCCTTTTATTTATTCCTATAATACTAAAATAAAATGATGTTTTCTCGAGTCTCACTGAGCTTTAAACTCCTTGATGCTAGGACTTTAGCTTGCTAACTTTTTTGACCAATTTATCACCAGTACCTGGTGCAATGCTTGGCTCCTGATAGGCAACACTAAATATCTCTCACTCGCCTTAGCTCATTTAGAAAATCTAATATGAAAATGCAGTTAAGGCACTACTGTAAATTACTGGCCTTTGGGCCAAAATCAAGTCTGTAGGTGTTTTGTTTAGCCAGCAAATTAAAGTGTTTTGATTTAATTGTCATTACAAAACATAAGGCACAAACATTGGGGAGTCTTTTCAGTGATCGTGCTAAATATCATTAGATCTGCCCTGGCCAGGTGGTTTAGTTGGTTGGGCATACTCTGGTACACCAAAAGGTTGCAGGTTCAAATCCTGGTCAGAGCACATACCAGGTTGTGGGTTCAATTCCCAATCCCTCTCCCCCTCCCCCTCCCTTCCCCTCTCCCTCTTCCTTTCCTCCTCTCCCTTTCCCTCTCCCTCTCTCTAAAAAATCAACAAAACTGCCCTGGCTGGTGTGGGTTGGTTGAATGTTTTTCTGTGCACCAGAAGATCACTGGTTAGATTCCTGGTCAGGGCATATGCCCAGGTTGCAGGTTCAGTACCCAGTTGGTATGTGAGGCAACTGAAATGATTGATATTTCTCTCTCTCTCTCTCCCACCCCCCCTCATCATGAAAAACATTAAAAAATAAAAATAAAAAATCAAGAAAAACATACCATCAGGTAAAAATTAAACATA